TGTTGCCAATTTGTCCACGCAGATAGAAGAATGACACGTGTCTCATTTGTGTTGAACTCTCTAAGTTTTATAAATTTGCAAATTTAAGGAATCATGCAAGAAAGTATATGTTGTAGCAGCAGTAGTTGAAGTATCCAACAAGAAGCAAAAGTGTGGGAGTGGAAGTCATTCCTCCGAGGCGAAAGTGCGATGAACTTGTGGACCGGTGCGGACAAGGCAGAAAATGGAGCGTTCTCTTATCAGTGACGCACGCAGCCTCCCATCCCGCTCGCACATGATGGGCCACGAGCGCCCGGGAAAAAAGGAAGTGCTCTCCCCCCTCACCTCCTGCACCGACATACCCAACCACGCACGCACAGCCGCATGCCGCTTTTCGGGGCACACCCGCTTCGCAAGAGCCACTTCCGGCCGGGCGTATTGTCTAACAATTTATCTTTAACCTGTGGAACAGAGTCAATATTGTTGTCGATGTTATGGAGAATCGGTTAAGACATTTCAATTTTTACCTTTCATTCTTATGTTTTAATTGGTACGTATTGCCTTCCAGTTCTTATTTCTCCGAAAGCGATCCTATTTTCTCTGTTGTGAGGATTTCTGTTGAGAGTGGTGTGTCTTGCTGCGTTTGAGGTCTTCCAGCATATAGTACAGGTCTTACATTCTCATATGCCGGACCATTCCTTCAGTGTCAAGTATTTCGTTTGGAATTTTTGTAGTGGGCTACAGTGCGATGCCTCTCTACTCGCATCGATTTAACACATTTATTTCAAAACTGCTGACCCAGTCAAGCAAATTGTTCAGATGGGTAAATAAATATTTAATGATTTTCGTCCACCGTTATCCAAAACAAATAATTAATTGAGAGTGAATACAATAGCACCACGTCACATTACATTGATACATCGTGTTTAATTTTTTAAATTAGTTTTTAAAGTTATTGCTTCCTGTTCGAACTTGTGTCTCTCGAGGGCTTTAAGGTACATTCCAGAGCGTTTAGGTTTTCCATCCTGATATAGAGTTAAGTATGAAGGTAGATGGAATGATGGGTGAGAGAAAGATGCCTAGAAGTTAAAGAGATTTGAAACGGTCTTTTGGGAATCTTGATTTAATTCGACGTCTGTTGTTGTTTCTAAGTTAACATTGTATAGCAGGGAGAGTTTAATAAATTGTTGAAATTGTTGGCGAGAAGTTATACTGTGTGCTTGAATTCTGTTACAACTAATTCTCGTCGGATTTGGTGATTAGGGATTAATCATGGAGCATGTAATATTGAGTGTGAGATATTTATTTTGGATATTTTGACGGAGGAATGTTTTTTATTCGAGATAAGCGTTTTCTGTACATCATAGATATCTTGAGTTAGAATGTATTTCTCGAAGGTAATTGTTATTGTTATTAGACCAAATAATATTTAATCGGTGTTTTATTCTTCTCATACGCTTGTTTATTTTCTGTTTGACATCGTTCCTTGTTGCAATCTGCCAATATCATCTTAAGTTATTTTTGGATTTGATTAGATTCGATATTCTGAACAGGGTTGGTTTTGGTTTCAGTTTGGACATTTTCAAAATGTTACAATCACAGCCATATTGTAGTGTATGCCTGATAGGAGGTCTCTGATGTATGACTAAGTACTCAGAAACAAAGTAAGGAACCATTTAAATAATTGCTTTGGAGATTAAGGTAAACGACGAAACGCCTATCGTAATAGGAGTTAACAAAGGTTGTTGACATATTTCGTGCAAATACTACTATATACAGTACAATTACTAGTTGTAGGAAACAGTGAAATGAACAATTGATGAATGCTTTGTTCGAATGTTTCATTCCACTAATAAAGTTCAATGTAAGTAAAAATAGTAAGTGACAAACAATGAATTAAAAACACAAACACCCTGCAACAACATTCGTACATGAAGTATACTTATTTTCCCACCCATACTTGCATTACTACTTTTATCAAATAACCCTAACAATAACTTTCAAAACTCAATGAAATTTGCAATCGCTAAATTGAAAATTTCATTAGAGCAGAGCATATGGGAAGAGACAATATTGTTCTCTCTTGTCGGGAATATGAAAATTCAATCGAATTCAACACAGATTTTTATCATCGCGATGTGAGCGCTTCAGAAATTGGAAAGGAACTTAGAAATTGATTAAAATCATTTTAAAACATCTCATCGAAGCAGGCCGGATCTTGACAAGCAAAATAAGCAGGGGTTCCCGTTCATGGGAGGCCACGCGCTGCGGAAAAATCATTGAAAAACTGAAAACATTGATAAAATGTGTTCTTAATTGTAAAATAATAAATGAAAATTATTTGTATTTGTACAAATCGTTATTCTATTATATTTAATGTTATTAGAAAATCCCAGGATTTTTTTTTCATGGGGACCCGAAACGATTTTATGCTGGGGTTACCACAATATTCACATTTGGCTCTGCATAAAACAACCATATACTACACTGATGACAAACAAATCTGTTGTGACAATTTATGACCACGAGCTCAACACTTTGGCTTGAATCGCGTCAATGATACGAGATAGCACGTTGCCAGGCTAGTACTATATCTAAGGACCAGAATTTATATCCTGAATCTCATACGGCGCCGTGGGAGGCCTATCTCTTATCTACCCCCGCTGATAAAGCAGACATATTGCACTCATTAAACAACTGCATGCATTACTTTACGACTTTAAATTATTCCTTTGATAACCTGTGTTTTAATGACGGAACCTAGGCTTGCTCTGTTCATTCAATATTGTTAAAACTTTTATTTCATTATATTTATAACGAAAACATGAGTTAGTAGTGATATCAATTTTGTACTCTTGCAATGTAAATTATTTGCAATTTTCAAAAATACTGAAAGTTTGCCGAAAATGGGACCAGCACCAACTTTTTTTAACGTCCATTAAGCATACGACGAGAATATTTATAAAAAACTAGTGGTGCTACAAACACCCATACGTTCCTGCTTTATTTGTAACGGCTCAGCAATATTATACTACTACATGAACTTGCTAAAGTGTTTCTAAACAGCAAAAAATTTTCCCCGTTGAGGTTCGAACTCATGTCCATCGACTTACCCCGCCGTGCGCCGTTATGACTACCTGATACAGTCGTTCTGACGTGCTCTCTTGGGAAGCCGACGCTCAAAACGACAATTATCTCTCTAATTATTTCCAACAAACAATTGTTGAAAAATACAGTGAAATCAACGAAAATGAGACCTGCACCATTCTTTTAAGCGTTCCGTATTTTATAGGTAGCAAAACTTTCAAGAAAAAATTTGGTGTGTCTTTTAAAAAAAAAGTTTTTTTATAAAGTACATTAATTTAAAACAGAAATTACGCATAATCTACTCGTTTTTTGGAAAAAATATACATGTCATTTTTCAGGAAACTGATTTTTAGAACAAAATTTGTTAATGGCAAAATCTTCTATACTCAATTTCGTTGTTTTGAAATGTTAACTTCAAATGTTGATGGACGGACGGACAGTCAGAGAGTAATTTTTGGTCTTTAATCAATTTTTCGGCGTCAAAGGCCCGCCCAATTAATAGCTGTGAAGTTTTAGATAACGAGATAGCAGTTTAGTGGTACATCTGTGAAAATGCATAATTGAAGTAAATCCTTACACATCACAGAGAAAAGAGAAATACTTGTGAAGAAGATGGTATGCGCACAAGCTAAAGGGAAGTGTTGAAGAGTATGGAAACTGACATGGTCTCTTTGACTTCTCTTTGGAAACTAACTTCGAAGAAGAAGTACCACAGGAGCCACTCTTTGTTCACTCCGATTAAAAAAATTTTATTATGTATTAATAGTAATTCCAACTTTCTGTATTGTCTACTATTTTTCCAAAGATTTCGACAGGAAAACGATGTTAATAAGAAAGTACAATATAAAAATAAGTTTAATAATACCGTAATATACTTAAAAAATAATTGTTAGACAAATATTAAAAGCAATTCATTTCCCATGTTTGAAACTGTTTCCATTGTATTCGTCTGTACGCTGTCACAAGAACACTGCCCGCCCGGAGAGGTACTCACAGCTCGATGCAATCCCAGTTAGAAGGATTAGAAACATCTCACCTGCAAGCAACTAGATGGTTAACGATAATGAATGGCGAAACGATTTCCAAACAGTTCTTGGATTTCCGCTCCTGAGAGGGCAGGTAGCTGACCACACTATCTGAATTGAGATTCCCATATTGGGATTGACGATAACATCCGATCGTAAGCTTGATTTCCCCAACGCACTATTTTAAACAATCAAAAATGTTCAATAAGAGTTCAGGAAAACTCAAGCCATTTACATTTTCTTCTCTAAGCTAGAAACTAGACAGGGAAGAAATATTACGCAATCTTCAATAATAAGACATACAATTTTGTAAAGTAATCACAAGAATTTTTGGATACTTAATTTAGTTTGAGTTAAATGAGCGACAACACTAGAACTATCAATGTACTGCACATTTTTGAATGCATATCCTTTATAGTAAGGCTAAATAATATTTTAAGAAGGTAATTTTGTCCTTTCTTCTTCCAGTTACACACAGTAGGTAGAGAGTAGATACTCGATTCCCACGTGAGATTTTACATTATAATATTCAAGCGGTAAATGAAAACACTTTTTTTCTAGCTTCACACAGTAGACCTGTTTCACTTTTAGCAAAAAATTAATGACATCACAGCAACCACAACTGTTCAAGTAATACTTATTCATTTCAATAAATTATTGCACTAACTTAATTGCATTTACTGACATATTTAAGAACTAATCAGAATTAATAAATTCTAAAATGCATAGTTAACAATTTAGAAGTACAGGTAAGCATGATTCATTTTAAACTGAAATAGCTGAACAAACACATGAGGGGGGCGAACGTCATACATATATTGATTTTCACAGAGTATGGAGGCTATTAATTGTAACCCACATTTCATAGAACTGCCTGTCATAAATTTTAACTTCCACGTTTCATTTCAGGGACGGAGGAATGTGGCAATGAAACAGCTGCGTCTGTGCGCTTCGAAGTAACCAGCGCGGAAGGCCTGGTGACGGCCGACGGCGTTCGTGAGCAGGAATGAACCGACGAGTTTTTAGCATCAGCATGCTATCCAATTCTTTGTCCTTTCAAGGAAGGTAGGGAACAAGTAAGGAGAAAGTCGTCTATGGACGTGTAAGGCAGCTTGCCGTAGTGAACCCGCTTGGAAGACGGAACCGCGATCTCTTCCAGCGGCCAGCCATGGCGACTTCCCCTGCGAAGCGGAGGATGTTGAAGGAGCTACCAGATTGTTCACAGCGCTTTTGCAACGTCCAGCGAAGCATGTACCAACTCGCTGGCCTTAACGTTGAGCAAATAAATCACATTTGCTATACATTTGTTTCGAATAAACGTCATCATAAAACGCAGTGATTGAAGTATTACACTTTTATATCCCATACAAAAACCTGCTGTTTTGAGTTACACATATTCTCACTCTCCTTTATAATGTACTTCCAATAGAGAATCTCTGCACTTCTTAACAAGCTTGATATAATGTCACAATGTTTAGAATCGTACTAGAGACCTGCGACAACAAAAATATTGCTGAACAGAAAAAAAATCCAGTTTCCAAAACGTAGCATGCACACTGACCAAGAACAAATAAAATTGTCTTGTATAACACTTCGATAAATTAAATATGTTAACAAAAACACTCCTCACAAACACTGCAATAACGCAGTACATTAACACTACAACAGTTCTTTACATACCAAGAAAATAAAGTTGCTATTCCACAACGCAACCCGAGAATCACAAACATTTAATGGTGGCGGATTCTTCCTTGGAGCCTTGCTGGCGCATGATCAGATGTTTCGTAAGCAGAAACGTACTGAGTATGAGAATTCTGTCGGTTCGCGAAGTATGTGAATAGGTGAAATAATACAAATATTTGTTCCTTCCAGTCAGTATAGAAACATTATTTTTAGATTTGTTCCTCGTATCTAAGGAAATCATAGACACCTCTCATATCATCGGAGGCTGCATAGTGTTCTTTCAATTTCTGCGCACATTGGAAATTAATAATGTAGATGCTGAAAAAATAATAAGTATAGAGGGAAATATCTTGAAAGAAGATTCAAAGTTTTTTTACACCTCAGGAACTACCTAGTAATTATACCGCATGTATACTAATTACTGAATAAATACGATTTTTCAAAAGTTTTGATGGAAATTGTCATGAGAAGGAAACGGCAGTAGAGATGTGAATATTTTTTGAGTCAATAAGAACAAACGGAAAACAGAGAACAATGGCCGGTAGAACCAGTTTTGACGTGCGAAAGATGAACGGTCGAGCTTGTTACTACCCTCTCCGCTAGTTTTTTCACACGCAAAACACCACTTTACCACATCTACATGCAACGATCAAAGTACTACATCTTTCCGCTACGTGAACTTACCTTACAGAGACCTCATCTTTCTACTATCCAGTGGTGGTTTTCATTTTTGTTTATTGTTAAAACACAGATAAATACAATGCACGTCGTTTAACTAGAGACTACACAAAATTACAAAAGCACACACTTCGCGATTTATTTGTAACTGATACGTAATAATACTCCAATTAGTTTACTACGTATTCTCCAGCCTACTCGTAAAAAACTCTCTTCAGCAAAAGAAACGCGGGAAATTCGAATTAGTAATTTTCGAAAGGTTTAAATAAAAATCAGAGCCATAACATACTTATAAACACGATTTACTCTATACGAAAATAATATTTTAAGAAAAAAATCCCCCATAAATTTTGTTTGCCAATCAGGAAACTGCAATGGAGACTGTTAGTCGTGCTCTATATGAGTTAGATCCCTTTCAAAATTGAAATATTTATTGACTCCTTAATTTGGAAATGGTGGGAGAAAGTATGTGATGTTGTAGCACTACTAGTTTCTTAAAATTTTCTCTTCGTATGTATCAATGGACGGTAAAGGAAGATTTGCTCGACTCGTTTCCAGCAAACATGAGGGATTTCAAGGAAAATGAGACCTGCACCAATCTCTTAAGCGTTCTTTACGCTTTCCGATGACAAAGTTTAATAAATAATTTCAAGCCATTTTTTAAAATACTTTGAAAATGTTGAGGTTTCATGTACCCCGAAATTCAAAATATCCGTTTCAAACTCGAAGGACCTCCAATTCCTTTAAATCGATCAAGAAATATTAGTTTTTGAGAAAATCGGCTGAACGGTTTAGATGCTTGGCCACAGAGAACGAACACGCACGTTATTTTGACATTTTTATTATAATTATATAATTCTTTAATTATATGTATGTACGTATGTATGTAGGTAGGTATGTATTATGTATGTATATTGGGCTTGTATTTGGCATTTTGGGTTGATTGTCCAGCTTTTTCAGCTAGCTAACGGTGTCCTTCATTCCAGGGCCTAGTTAGTTCCCACGCGTCTAGCGGGGGGAGAGACATGTGGCGAACATGGCGTATTCCTTTCACCGCAACTAGCAAACTCCCCCTGCCCGAGCGTTTCTTTGTGACTCTGCTACACAAACTGATACGATTTTTAAAGGAAAGCTACAACTCTATGTATGCCCCGACCGGGAATCGAACCCGGGTAGTTTTACTATGCATCACTAAAATACAAACACCTGCAACTGCTGGAAACTTACAAAAGCTTTGAACTCTCCTTACGAGGAGAGTCTGCTAAGTTTTGCCGTTAATCATGGACCCTCAAAATATAGATTCTGACTACACGTCGTTTCAGAAGGAAGTAATTTACTATACATCCGTAAAGGAGCACAATTTATTCACTTTTTCATTACTAGGGCCTGACAATAAGTTTTCTATCGAAAATTCGCCTTTTTCGCCGCATGATTATAATATATTATATTCTTACAAGGTCGAAAAGTAAAAATATTTATTGTAAATGTAGCTGATTTCTCCCCAAACATCAGGAATGTTTCTAACATAAATTAGCGTTAATGAACCATTATCTGTGGAAAGCAAAATTGTATTAACTTTGCTTTTCACGCAACAAAATTTACGCAATGTAACTTTTGTTACGTTGCGCGAATGAAAAAATATGTGATGGCAAAAAAATAATTATACTGTAGCTAGTTTCCCAAGAGTACTGTGTGAGCTCCATGCACAAGTGTTACTCGTTCAGTTTCTACAAGGCGACTGCTGATGTGGCAATAAAATATTAACAATAAAAATAAATGACACAATGTATAGCACGGCGCACAATGAAGTAAATTAAAATTTTAATAGTACAACTGTCAGCCATTTTTCTATGACAATTTTCGATAGTTCGGAATATAAAATAATGTGTTATAATTATAATTGTTTGAATTTAATAAGAATTGTTCGAATACAGTGGGGTGACAAGAATTTACCCTCGAAAACTTTACTTTTTTGACGTTATGACGAATATATAACGAAAGTAAGAAGAATGAAACTCTAAACATTTAGGTTTTCTATTTATTTACAAGCGGAAACACATTTATGTACGATGTTATAAATAATTGAATAATTTTTATTTCATATATTTTTACATTCTGTTTCTCCATATTAACACATCATGAAATCTTGTCACGCTCTAATGTACTACGTTATTTTTTTCAAACTTAATGTTTTGCATTTTCATTAACCGTAAGATGAACTAGCGGCGAAAACACCGTGACACGTGCATCTTCCCTGCAACTCTATGCTATTGTGGAGAAAGAATATTACACATTTACATTTTTCATTGTACTTCACCAACACGGGGTTTTGCACATAATGATAACATTTTAACGTGTGCCAGGAGGACACTCTCCGTTTTCCGTTTTGTAAAAATTTCATTCCCGGTACGAGCGAAAAGGTTGTCTTCGCAGAACGTTCTTTTAAGAAGCTCTTAAACTTATTTATCAAATAAGAGGAAAGATGCAACAGAATTTTAAAAAGGATTCGAAATAAAACGAAAACTAGAAGAAGAGCAGCGGATGAAGGGGAAGAAGGAATAAGGTGGGAAGAGGCGGAAGAAGTAAAAGAAATTTTCTGAGTGTGTGAAAGAGTTTTAGAGAAAAAGTTCTCAAGGATCCGGGAGTTAGCGCGGGGCTGCTAACACGCGGCCGGCCGGGGGTGCCTCGTTGGGCGGAGGTCTCGCGAAAGAGAAGGCGAACTGCTTTTTCTTCCCATATACTTTCCAATAAAAACACTTCATCTTTGCGATATAATTAGGTTTCTTCCTTTAATTGTACTTGATTGTATACTGACATGGTCTATTTGGCTAGAGGGTCAGAATAGCGCGACACGCGCGGTTTATGACATTGTAGGTCTCTGGATGCACGTAACGTGACGCCCCTTTATCATTTTGGGTGTAACTTACTTCAAGAATCTTTGATTCAGCGTAACGTGTTGTTAGTATATTATTATTATTATTTTATTTATATTAGTCTAATTTATATTTTGCCTCGAGACAGTGCACATGCGATGTTGGGATGCCCCTTCTTCCAACTGACGAACGTTTGTGAGCTTCAGCATTCGAAGCCCATGCCTTATACTATTCAATACCATAATCAACAACACTTGTGAACAAGAAACACCTTTACAGATGGGATTCCGATCCACACCTTATCGGAATGAGGAGTTGAGAAGACATCCTCTAACCGTCTAGTTCGCTTAAGTTAGACACATAAAGAGATACTTTTTCTACGAGAGGAAGTTATCTTTCACAAATACAGAAAGTCTCTTTTCCTCGTATGTAATATTTTATTTTATTGAAATTTTTAATAAAAAACAAAATAAAAAATGTGTCAGGTTACGTCAGGACAACCAGCTGGTCGGTGCCGCACCCCACCATCGAGCGTGGGAAAAACACCGCCAGCTCAAGTGATAAAAACATGCGCCACACTTACGATACTAATGACCTGAGCACTTGGCGCTCCAGGAAATACAAAATAATCATTGTGAGGACAAGTATTAGTTTGCTGCACCGCCGCCGCCAGCGTTTGCGCCACCGACCGAAGTGCCTAGTCAAGTAGATAAAAAAAAAATAATCCTTACGTGATAAAGAGGTACTGCAGTGGTACATTATTGACCATTAAGAAGCACCTTTAACGTCATAAAAATCAATCATGTAAATAAAATACGTATTTCGCATCATTTAGAAA